TACACATTAGTATACATCATATTATTGTAATTACATTCTGACATCATAAAGCGGCATGGCTAAAGTAATGAAAAAACTTTAAAAATAAATGCTTTGGTAAGTAAGTATTACATGGAAATATTTAAGTGGTAATCGTTATTCCCGGTAGCCATCCGCTTGAGAAAAGCCATGAAAATAATTGTAATGGTTTTTCTAGTTTTAAAAAACCGCAGTTTCCTTTTATTCGAATAGGTACGTGTATTTTTACGATAATTGACTGTATAGTAAACAACTTCCTTTGACTGATTTCCAAACTTCCAAGAAATAAACGTGAACTGCTATTATCTATTTGACGGTAGGCATAATCCATAGGAGCTTCATGATTTGTATTAAAAAACACAATAATAACCAGGTGGGCTCGAATTCAATCTGACAACAATAAAAAATCTGTATGTTATGATAGCCCTGTGTGATATTTAGTACATGACTCGCTATAAAAAATAAATACAGGGATTTAGCTGTTATAATGATACAACAATGCACTTTTCACGGTGATCTTTTCAAGGAATATACGTGAAAACGTGTCAACCACAAGTAAGACAACGTTGTGTTTACCTTAACATTGCTTATTTTGCGAATTTGTAGTTCCGCGTTTAGTTTTTTAACGCCTGGAACGTTTTTCTATTCTTTTGGTCGTTACAGACTCTATTGTCTCATATCTTTGGTCTACAAGCGGAGGACAACCCGTGACGAATTTTAAAAGTGTTTGTTTATGAAATGTCCCTCGACGTCGCGTGTTTCAAGTATGAAAATGATATTTTTTTTATAGTACTAACACACGCGGTCTAGTTGGATTTCAAAGCGAATATTAGCAAAGCAAAGCAGTGTACTTTGATAGCATAGACGCTATTATTTATTTAAGGAGAATAGGTAGACCATGTTAACACATAAATACCCGCTGGAGTGCGTGGATATAAAAGTATATTACATAAATATCAAACAAAGGACGCCGATGCAACTTAAAAGCGGAGAATAGAGAAATACCGGGGATCATCACGACTATCCTTGGAGCACATATGAAATGCAGAACGTTTAAAAAACGTGGACGAAGCTCTCACATGATATGCTTGCGTTTGTTGTAACGTTGTACATAAGCTAATTGTGCGTCATCGACGTGTAATATCATATTATCATTTGTACATGACAATGTCGTGAATCCCTCTTTGAAAACACATTAGCAACATTGGAAATAATAACGATTATAATTGTACTCTAATTTATAGGAAAACTGCTAATATTTTGAATGAGTTTGATATCCACACGCAATAACAGACACGGAGAGATTTCGAACGTACTGGGCGGTGCCTACGCGACCGCAAAAACACTTCTCGCGGCAATTTTGGGTGCAGCTCAATTTGCGTTTCGTTTTAAAGCGTCGGGAGGTGGTAATATTATCATTATTGTTGTACAGAGAAATATTCTTAAAAAATTACGGGTCATACCTTTTGGTTCGATCCATTGAAATCGATGTCCGCAAGATCACTATTATTAATTTAATAATTCGTTTCAGATAAAGATATAATTTAAAGGTCACGAATTGAATACAAAATCTATTAGACTACTAAAAACAGCGGGATTTAATTTATTGGCGTTTATTTGCTGAACAATCGCATTAACATTTGGAGATACAATTAAAACGAATGAGATCGTTAAATAAATTCTTATTCATTTTGCGACCGCTTGGACGTTGCTTTACTCATATTAAACTTGGAGCACATTCCACCGAGTCAATTGAAGCGTTTTATGACTTTTCTTACATAAATGTGTAGGAGTTGGTTATTATATTAGGTAATAATAATTATATAAACAATGAAGACCGATCATAGATGCCCAACGTCCACACGATATTGTCACGTCCTTGACATAATGGCGATTATATTACTAGACAGTGTCCAATGGACACTATCCATAATGTTATTGGCAGTATGTGGTCATCCCTGGAGACTTGGCAAGGTAAATAGTCAACACACCGAGATAACTCAGAAGCCGTTTTCAACGGTAGCACAATGGCGTTACCGGCGTGTGTGTATGAATCGACAGTAATTATAATAAGCTGCAAATTCAGACAAAGTATAATCAAACGAATGACCAGGTGTACTGTACACAATGGCGTAGGCTCTGGTCTATTATAATAATGCATAAAAGTACACGCGACCTTGTCGCCGCTTCTATTCTACGTAGTTTCCGGCCATTTCGGCGCTTCCTACTGCTTTATATCCACACAGTCGCATTGTATTTAGGTTATTAGTTGCCAACCGAGGACGGCACAATGGTGTAGGGCTAAAGTAATCCGATTTTGGGGTTTTGACCTTGGAAGACCATATCAAATGCCAACGCAGGGTATAGCGTATGAAAAACATTTAACTAATTTATCCGCTATTGCTAATTTGATGATTAATTAGAATAAAATGACAATTATCCATATTTTTTAACTTTAAATGTGGAATTTTGTGAAGTGGTTTATTTAGTTTGCAGTAACCATGAACTATTAATAACTTTTGAATTATTAAGCACTATAGACAATAATTGTAGTTGTCACGTTCGCATACAAAGCGTAAAATTGCAGTTCAAATGAATACATTGCCATCACCAACTGTCAACAATTTACTGGTTTTCTAGCATTTTCTAGAAAAAATAATAATAATAATAACAATAAATCATTTAAGAAAAAAATAGTATGTGTCAGTGTGTATTAGATATCTTATGGATTTCCATGACGCCTGGATTATTTTGTTACACCTCATAGAATTTGTACCACATGTTTAAATAACATAGGTTTGTGTGACCTTATATTCAAATACATTATTGTATGTTTTTTTAAACCACAAGTGACAT